AATACATAAACATGATATCAAAATATTCATGACAATACATCAGTGTTGGTTCTTCATGTTGCTTATGGTGGGCGGAGGGGTACCAGGAGATAGCGTAAAAAAATTAGAGGTACGGGGAGTCCAACAGGTTGGGAACCACTGCATTAACTGCTTGGCATATATCACTCAGCGTTACTCAGTGCACAGTGAGGGAATGTTGATACATTAACGGCACGGCATATATCACTCAGCGTCAAGAACATCAAGTAGAGGTGGGGAGAGATTGCTCACTGTTAGAATTGATGTCTTCTACAATAAGAGACAGCAAACAATTACATATGACGTGTCACGAAACTGCAGTTGATCGGTTGACGTCATACTAGTGGACTGAATGGGACGAGTCTCTCATGAGTAACACACATATATGAATTGCTAATGGAGAGGATTTTAATTGTTTAATTGGCGATAAGCTCGTTAGCATGATCGCTCATAATATCCTGAAACACCAAATTCTACCAAAATAGACGACCGTATTCGCCCCGATACCAAACACAAGTAAGGCCTAAAAAAAGACCTTTGTTTCTGCTAACCCGAGCGAGTCTATTTTAAACCGCCGTGTCGAAACTTTTTATTGTGATCAACAAAATATTTTTTTTTATTTTTCAAAATATAAAAAAAAAAAATCCCAACGTGATATCGATCGGTAAATGCATTGATTTGACTTTGAAGTCATTATATGGGCTGTTATAGTATAAAACTTGTTAGAAAACCAAAAAAAAAAAAATTGGATAAAAAAGTTTGCCTGCCTACCGTGTCCAATTTTTTTCAGCTCATTAGCGGAAACAAACATCTTTTTTCTTAAGCCTAACAGAAGAATGCCAAAACAAAAGAGCATCAGAGATCGCGGATGTCGTTGGCGCACGCACGCATCCTCGTGGGCCTCACCTGTCCGGTACGCGCGGCGCGAAGCAACTAGTTGTCGACAGCACACAGGCGACGTTCTCTGCTCCCAGCTCCAGCAGCTTCTCTGCCATTGCCTCAACATTCGTGCGCAGCTCATCCCCCTCACGACGATTCTCGATGACAACCGCTGTGTACCCTGAAGGAAAGATGCCGCACGATAGATATGATAGATAGATGCCCGTTATCACATGAAGGAGACTTGGTATAGGTATAGATAGTACTAATACATTACAAGTGTATGTTATTGTCCTGCGCACGTTACGTATTCATCTATGAGAGCTCTTCCATATCAAACACATATATTGAAATAGAAGACTAGAAACATCGCTCTCACGAATAGGATTGACTTTATGATCTTAGGAAACAAGGGTGTAAATTAACGCACTCTCGGATAGTTTGCTACTGTATTGAGAGCCTGCATTGATTATGGTCATACATATATATATATATATATATATATATATATATATTAAGAGGAATGTATATATATAAACATATTATACTGATTCGCGAATTATTCGACACGTCTGCCGCCTTCTGTCGACAATAAGCATACTTTTAACACAGATCTATTTTTAAATGGGTAGTTTACACCGAAAACATTGTATATGCCAAAACGTTTTTGTCAATCAGATAGTCATTTGAATGTATTAGCATTAGCTCACTGTATGTTCGCAAAGAAGAAACCTTCTCACCTGCCGTCGCAATGCACTTGAAGCACGACTTCTGGTCGATTCGGGACCAAATCACATATTTCGCGTGTGGCCGCGACTGCCTTATAGTGAGCAGACACAACGTCATTGTCATCCCCGTTGCCATGGGTACAACAAAGCAGGCAGCAGTTGACGTCACTCCTGCAGACAGCACAGGGATAACTACCAATTGTTTATTTAATAAATCACTATCGTAGCACTAAACAATAAGGTGAAATTAAAAAAAAAAATTGCTGTCCATGTTCACAATAGGCATGCAGAAATACTCCATTCTCCATCCTCTATACTTGTTACAACTTTTAATACCTGTTTTTCTCAGAACCTCAAGCAGGAGTGAATTTGTGAGTTTCATTAGAATGCTTGAGCCTGCTGCCTTTGGCTGCACTGCAACTAAATCTCCTGACCTGCCTATACCATGTCCAAACCTAAAAAAAACCATGAAGTGAATATATATCCCATGACCTATTTATATCATAATGCAGAACAGCAAACATTTTTAATACGTAAGGAAATATAGCATATAGTAGGTGCTGCAATGTAGTTTTTACATGGATGAATAAATTTCACAGTAAGTAAATCTGCATCATACACATGCACCTCCGTTTGAACAGGTGCAGGTAACCAAGTCTTTCTAATAATTCATTTATAACAAGTAAGATGGTTTCGAGGCGATCGAATTACACGCACCTGTAATGTCTTCGTCGTACTAGGTTTGATGCGATCCTTGCCTCTCGTTCACCGACTCCACAATTGCTTGGAAAATTGTTGCTGTCCATCAGTGCTAGCTCATTCAACAGCAGTTCTATGGTGGCATCGTCCCAACCTTCATCTGGCCATTTCCTCTGATAACGAAAATAACAGCACACCTGTCATGACGGATATCTCTGCGCTCCTAATACCTCAGTGAATACAAGAGGCAACCATGTGATGTTATTCAATCCTATTGCCGGCTCCAGATTTGACAAGGCTTTTACAACCAGAGGGTAATTGCACACTGGAATACAATACTTACAAGCGAAGTGGGAGCATAGTCCTTAAAGCTTTTTAAAGACAGCTAGACTAGTTAAGTTTCCTTCAGAATCAGAATACGGGTACTGATTAAGTAAGGAGGCAGGCCTACACTAAACGCCATGCACACACATAAACTACAAAAACTACATATATGCATAAACTACAAAAACCGCCATACACTATATGCATATATATATATATATATATATATATATATATATATATATATATATATATATATATATATATATATATATAGCCGTATATATATATATATATACTGTATGTGTACATGTGTAAGTGCGTGTATACTGTAACGTGCATAAAATGTGCCAAGTGTGCAGCCAACAATGCTTCTGTTAATAGCTCACCTCACCTCTTCAACTAACTAAGTCTACGATATTGGGTAATATAACTATAAAAACAAGAAATTATTTAAGTGTGTATTGATCTCACACTGCGCTCTAACAATGGCGAATGAGATTTCTGTGAGCGGCGAATCCGGCTTGTGAGCCTTGGCTGTTAGGCATATGCGCGAAGGTATCAGCCTCTCACACAGTTGCATGACAATCGTCAGTTATTTTATGTCTGGTTTAGCATCGAGATTTCATCGATCATCGACTGCTCCTGAAGAATAATATTAGCACACAACTCGTCACACAACCTGGCATATATGTAAATTGAGCTCAATACTGGCACTGATTTACAGTTGGCACAATCCTAGATGCTAATCTAGGTGCTGAATCTGGAGTGCTAAGCTTAAAATGGTAGAAGGCACGAAAGATGGTGTCGCAAACACAATGCACCCACAATGCATCTTCTTAGGCTAACTTGGCCAGGCTGCATACTTATACTATTAGTATTACTATACTATATATACCAGTGCTACAGAGCGACAGCGCTCATCAATATTGACGGCAGGTGTTCTGATCTACACTCACTGGCAACGAATCAAAGGCACCTCCCATCGTGCGTTCGTTCTCCCTCGTTGTTCTCTCATTCTTTCTTTTCGCTTGTCTCGCTTCTTCCTTCGCGCTCTCTCTCTCTCTCTCTCTCTCTCTCTCTCTTCTCTCTTCTCTACTTCTCTGCTCTCTGCTCTCTCTCTCTCTCTCTCTCTCTCTTCTCATTTCTCTCTCTCGCTCTCGCTCTCGCTTCAAAAAAGCAAAATACATGATGAACTCTCTCTCTCTCGCTCTCTCTCTACTCTCTTCTCTCTCTCTCTCTCTCTCTCTCTCTCTCTCCTCTCTCTTCTCTCTCTCTCTCCTCTCTCTCTCTCTCTTCTCCTCTTTCTCTCTCTCTCTCTCTCTCTTCTCTCTCTCTCTCTCTCTCTCTCTCGCTGAAATGGTGTTGCCAGAGCGAACAGAGACAATAGACACTAATCTGTATGACACTGGAAAAGTCAGCCTCGGTTCAAGCACAAACATGTTGACTTTCACTAAAATTATTGATTCTAAATTTTTTATTTATTTGCTGCAGGGCTCTGCAGGCCGCACAGATCCCCGTAGAGGCCGCATGCGGCCCGTGGGCGCGCAGTTTGCCCAACCCCTGCTTAAGTTAAGGAGGGAATGTTCCCCTTCTTTTACACCTTTTGACTTTGACCCCAGCCTTCAACCATCAATCCGAATAATCGTGGACCGTACGCTCGAGCTGTTAAGATTTTGTTGCCAACTGTTGACGGCGCAACGGACGCAGGACCACGTCATTGCGATTCTACAAGCTGCATCTGACTATGTCAGATGAGCTAAATCTGATGCGGATATCGATCCAATGACTTTGAAGCGACATGACGCCTGCGATGGTACGGCGTTCGCGCTATCAGGCTTATTGGCTTTCTAGATTATTGGCCATGTGCCATGAATATGAGACACTGTGACATCATTGAGGCGCCAGTTCAGGAATCCATGTTTAACCCTCTCTTGAGGCCGTCAAAAGGATATTCAGACACTATACTTTCGCACGTCAGTTGAAGCCCACATTTCATGTCTTTCAATAAAGTGATAAAAATGGTAGCCAGCCGCTGCAAACAAAAAAGTTTTTCACTCTGTCCATTTAGGCATGTCTGATATCTGAACCTTTCCCCCACTGCCTTTGACCTGTGACCTCCAATTTATTCGCTCACTTAGCGTGATGGGTTTCCCTGCCTCACACTCACTATACACTAGGCTCTAGCTAACTATAGCCCGCGTACAGTTGCCGCTGGGCTATAGAAACAAGACCATTAGGGATTGCGCGGGACCAGAACTTAAGCAACGCTTATACGGGCTATAAAACGTCTGTGGTAGGCCAATTAATGGCCTGTTTATTCTGAAGTGAATATTGCCTTAAGTTATATCAGCCTACCTAAAATTTTAACTCTACTATCATTTGAAATTTGGATCTACTGCGGTATTTTGGTAAACAAACATTATTGATTTTGAGAACTTCAACGGCCATTTTCCGGCGGTGCAGCAGCGCCAGTTGAGCGGGAATATGTATTTCCGCACGTTGAGGGGTGGGCTGGTAGTGTTGGTTGTGGACAAAAATAATTAATTTAGCTTTAGAACCGTCAGCGATTGGAAATTTGGAATTCACTGCCCGAAAAAATTGTCATATCAAAAACGATAAATGAATTCAAAACAAAATTGACATGGCAACTGCATGTCCCACCTGACAATATGACTACCTTAACTTAGTCTGTATATAGTCACATAGTAATGATGTAATGATCTGATCACATGATGTAATGTATACAATGGGAATTTACCTTCCAACGTACGTATACTTCATATACCTACAATACCACGACCGCTCGCAATGATGTTTAGAATGATTTAACATCGCTAGGGACTATGAACAAAATTGAGGGTTGATGTATTAATTAGACCGGATACAGCACATGCAGGCACTTGGAACGTCTCAATAAAACAAAATAATGGCTTAAATAACACGAAATGTTACGAAAGTCTTAATGTTCTCTACTCTATTTCGCTATAATCACCTGTAAATGCGGTCAAATGCTCATCTGCAAACCACACAAGTACACCGATACGGCCATGAATAAGAGATGACCCTCTCTTATTTCATGTTGATTTGTGCCACGGCAGCCCACAGCGCGGGCGGGCGTTCAGTTGTACTTGTGTTTGCAGATGAGCATCATTGGTCGGCATTTACAGGTGATATGGCGAAATAGAGCTAGAGAAACTTTAAGACTTTCGTACATTTCGTGTTGTGTATTTACCATTATTTTGTTTTATTGAGACGTTCCAAGTGCCTGTGGCTGTGCTGTGGCTGTGGGATACAGGCCCTTGCCTTGGCCTTGGGTCTATTCCTGTAAACCGCTATTCTATTCTATTCTAGACAATTAACTATAACATTACAATTAGACTATAACATTACAATTAGGTACCTATTGCGTCATGTCGAATATAAAAGTCAGCTAACGCTAAATGACAAACAAACATGCAAGCAGCACAGTTATAACCATAACGAGAGGTTTATTTACAAAGTTATCATGCTTTTCAGGATGCGCTACGAGCGCCTAAGCAGTGTGGACTGAAAGGGATTTTAGCTTTACTGACAGAATCTCTCGGAATAATCTTATTAATCAACCTTGGCTTAACATTTTAGTTCTCAAGTATCTCGTCTTACTGTACAATGTAGGTGGTCTTTGAAAAATAATAGAATGCTTAACGTTATATTTTTATGAAATATAAATGGGTATATTCGACAAAAGATATTAAAATGTTTAGCTTACAAATTCCCTTTCCACCATCCTCAGACTAGAGTAAGATGCTCTGATATTACAACTTACAAGCATGGCAGGAAAGGCATGTCGTACACGCGTAAAGAACGCGTCACATGGGAAAGTGAAGAAATTGAAAAAGGGACAGAGTAGTAGTAGCAATCCAGAGACAAGAAAGTTCCGTGATGCAGCCAGAAACAGATTTTTTAACTTCGGTAAAGGTATGCGAGCCTAAATTACTCCCGTATGTCGAATCTCACTCAGTCACTGACACTGACTCGATCAGTCGGATCACGACTCGCCTTAGCTCTTTTTTTTTTTTTTTTTATTTATTTAGGCAATTATCCATCATATACAATTACATGCATGACTTTTACAATAAAAATTTGAATCATTAAATTGCGATAATTACCAAGGATACTATACACCAAAAAGCATGACTACGCCACACCTTATATTACATTGTGGTCCTTGTTTTGCTTGCTTTCAGGGAACAATTTCCAGCCAAAAACTTTGCATAGCCAAAATGTGCATATACAAAATAAAATTTTGATAGCAATTGGATAAATGTGTATAGCATTTTTTTTCAGACAAATCACAGTGCAAATTTACCCGCAGTGCATGCATTGGCGTGTTATCGTGTCTGCCTGTGACAGGCACAGTAGCTAAGCCTAGGACACACTAAGCGATTCTGCAACGTGCCGACGCGCTTTAAACAGCGTGCGAGCTTGGCAACTCGTCCGCTCGCCTAATGTCGAGTTGAAAATATATCGGCCGGGCGAGTGAAAGCTAAGCTGACTCGCCATAGTTGGCGAGGTGTGAAAAATAATTGTCTAAACTTTAATCAAATGTTGGTTTCCTTACGTTATAAATATCAAACAGTGATGAAATCAGGTTCTAGCGATTGTGAAGCGGGGCTATCTGGACTCTCGACACGACATCCTCACTGTTATATTAGTGCAAAGGTCGCCGAAGAAAAGCAGGCCCGCGGCGAGCGCCTGCAAGCCGCCAGCACAGCGTGGCTGTGTATACGTGCCTTGGGCGCCGGCATATGTGATTGATGTACGGGGGGTAGGAACTTCCAACCCAATCCTGGAGGCAGCGAATTGTTTAAAAGTCACGTTGCCTGTGTGGTGTTACACATCAATGACAATTCGGCGTAACGTGGCATTTCATTGACGCGGCAAAAGCAGCCAGGAAATAAAAAAGTAAATTGTTAAACATGTATGTTTCCGTTTACCATCATCGCATGGGCTGCATCGCACAACTGCCGGAATTCAATAAAACAATGATGCCCGTAGCAAATAGGGCTGAAAATTTACATCGCGAATTGCGATGCGATACCGGGAAAATTATTGCCCTGGCCTTAATTGAATCTAACAATTAGTACTAGTATACTCTAGTAGTAGTGTTTGTGCCCAAACTTGGAATCTTTTTTTTTTTTTTTTTTTTTTATTTTTTTTGTTTTGTGGTAGCTCAGTTTTGCCACTAAGCAACTGGTAACAATTGTCTTGCGCGGGCTACCCAACGACCTTAGTACTGGGGCACCCCCAATATTAAGATTGGGCAAACGACGTAAACAGAGCTTGCACAAACATGACCTTACATGACTTATTTATGGATATTCAAAGGTTTATATCCAAAAAACTATAAGAGTCGTAAACCTTCTCTTCCTCAATGTGTTTGGCACCTTTGATATAAATACGCGTATTAAATTATTACAATAAATATAAAATTGGGATAAATATTGAAGATAAGTTTTCTTCCTGTTTGTATCTTGTATCTGGTTCCCTCTCTATGTATTTCAATCGTATAGATTGTATGTCAATTGTAGTTTTGCACCGACGCACCACCACAAACACTCGCTATGAGCGCGTTCGTTGACATCACCCGACTGTTTTCAGTTTTGCAATCTGTGAGATTGCTGTCAGACCAAACTAGGGAATCGCAAGTTTTGGCAGCGCATCGCTGGCACAATCTCCGAATTTGTGCAGATTAAGTTTGGGTACGGCATACTAGTAACTACTACTATAGTAAGAGTACTATAACCCGCGTACATTGACTGCGCGCAGGTGGGCTGGGAAAAGTAAGATGGGGCGCGCAGTTGGCAGGGCCTTGCGCAGTCAATGTACGCTGGCGGCTATAGTAACTTTAGAGCTAGATCGCCTCAGCCTGCCGTCAGCTTGTTCTGCTGTTCTGGACCGGATTCTAGATACAATAATTGTAAACCAAACACAGGATAGGAATAATTACTAATAGTAATACTAATACTTCAATAGGCAGTGAAACCCTATCCTGTGTTTGCAGGTTACATTATTGTATACTAGACCCACGGTTCCGACAGTCTGTGAAACCATAACTTCTAAAGTGTTAAAGCTAACTCTGAGCTTAGTAAACTCCGAGTTAAATTGGGTTTCATATAATATGGATTAAATCCTGAGGACTTGAGTTAAGTGACTCAGAGATTAGATATCCCATAATTCCATCGCTTTAGTTTAGACAGACGAACATGATAGACTCATGATTAAGACGCATACGCATTAGATGATAGATGATAGACGCATTGCATAGAATGCAGGAACATGGTAGAAGGTGTAATGGAAAAAACGTATATATATGAAAAGCGGCAGCAATAAATAAATGAGGGAAATATATTTTGCCCAATGCGCGGATTGAAACCGCGACGTTTGCCGTCATTTATCACGACGCCTTTAACAGCTGCCGGCTATGAATTGCGGAATCGCAAGAATACCGTCTACATTTTCCCGCTATCTATAAATATCACAAGCAGCGTTCTCCCCAGCGAATGAAATTCACAAGGGGGCGAGCGGACGGGGAAGGGGGAGGGGAAGGGGATGACACTAGGGGGGTCGGGGGCGTGTTTTTTTACCGTACCACTAATTAATTGCGTAAACAAAATCGTCACCACACCATAGACGGTATTTGAGGTCTTGTAATATATATATAAGATAGTCGATTTCGTTGCTGTGTGAGGAAAGGTTGTGACTGTTTGTACTTGTGTAATTGTCTCCAGTTGCATGCGTGGACACAGGTAAAAATAAACCGCGCAGGGGTGTCCTGGTCGAATGGGATCTTTGACGATCGATTCCCTCGCTGGCAAATTTTATTTGCTGGTGGAAGTTAATCGGGACGGGGCGTGACGGTAATTTAAAACGGCCGCGAAAGATTTGAAACAGGGGGGAGGTTTCCCAACGAACGTACGGGAGAACCTGCACAGTACGCGATGCCGGGATCATGATTGTGGTACGCCATCAATGCGACCGAAAGTTACAACAAACGTAAAATACCACCGATATGTTTCAGCGCCAGCGGGGGATCGGCACACGGGGCAGTACTAGATAAACAAATTAGCTCTAAGTAGATAGTAGCCTAAAACTATTACCTAAACTGTTAAAAATATCTTCAAAAAGTCTAAAGATTATACCGAAAGACTAATCTATAACTAAATAGAATGTAAACTTGATTTTTAACCCTAGAGTTTAAGGACTTTAATCTAGCGATTCGTACCAGAGTTAGGCATATTAACTTCCGAAGTTGAAGTTAATCGCAAGACTGTTTGGAAACAGAATTGTAACTCGGACGTTAAGAGCTTGAATCCACGACTGGGAACTCGGGTCCTTTTCTGTTTGTCGGTATGTACGGTTGTATCTTGTCAGGACCTCGAATTAACGACGCACCGACGGCAATTGCCGTCAGGTGCCTTATCAAATTGCCGGACTGCCCTGAAAATCACCCGACCGCCGACGGCATGACCTTGCTTGCCCTTTTCTGTAATTCCCGTCGGTGCCTCTGGTTAGAACTTGGTCGCGGCCCGCACTGTTTGTCGCGCAGAGGCGAGGCTGGCGATAACCGTCTACCTTCTATTGGCCAAAACAATAACGTGGCTTGCTGCCAACCAGTCAATAGACGATCCGATAAATCCGTGCCCCACTCGCGCTGTGTTATGCCCGATGGTAGAACACAAATATTTAAATGCTGCACGTGACTCGACCGCGGCGATTAATAAGGCTGGGAAAACGACGCTCGCGCAAAGAATGGCCAGCATAGTTGATCATGATACGGTTGTAGCATGCTAAGTGCGAGTTAAAGCCGAGCCTATCAATTTTGTACATATTAAAAGCAAGACGATATTGATAGTATTATTGTATCCCCGCGAACGAAAGTCGCGCGGAGGATACTTATGGTTTCATGTCTCCAGCCTGCCGCCGAGCCACTCAAGTCCGCCGCGCAGAGAATTTCTTTTGCTCTATATAACTCGCACCCGTAATTTGAATCTAGCATGACACAAATTGGTACTATACTTACACATAGTGATGATCACGATCATCGATTATACATCGGCGATCATTCGTTGAACAGTGGCTCGAACAAGCGCTTTGGTTATCAAAAATCGCATAATCGATTAATCGAAAAAAAAAGTATTTGAACAAGAAAACTTGGAAAAGTGATGACAATTCAGTAGCATGTATTATACCACAGTAGTAAACAGTGCAAAACAAACCAGTAAGAGGCCTTAAACAAGCCACATAGCATGCACACACGTACAAGCACACGACGTTACGCACACGGCAGCCATTCAACACCCGCAGTAAACCGGATTGTAAGTTGTAGACGCATCAATCGTTTACTTTGGGGCAGCGATGATCGATAGCGAAATTACAACCGATTGACAACACTATTACACATCTTGGGAGAAGGGAGCAGTGTAACCAAACACCAGGTTACTCGCGACTTTATTTGACCTTTACTTGACCATTGTCATATTTCCTTCCGCGCTCTCTAATTCGCCGCCCACTAATTGACCTAGGGCTTACCAACTTGGTATACTTGCACATCTTGGGGAGAAGGTGAGCAGCGTACCAAAACGCAGGTCAATGCGGACCTTCATTCCAAGCTTTACTTTGAACCTTAATCAATATTTCCCCTTCGCTCTCTAAACTCGCCCCTCAATTTGAACCTCTGCGCTACCAAAACCAGGTCACTGCGACCGTTTATTTGACACTTTACTTTGACTCTGATTATATGTCACCTTCCGATCTATAGCTGCCGGCCCCTTATTGACTTAGCGCCTACAGAACTTTATACTTACCAGGGTTAGCACACTAACCATTTTAGTTTCATAGTCCTAACAGACTAGTAAGAAAAAATGTACTAGTCTTCAAGATTTTCTACTAGTCCTGCGAAGGACTCCTTAACTAGCGGCGCAGGGCGACGAAGTCAATTGTGATTTGCTAGGAGGTAGTTGGGTAGGGGGTGGAGCCCCCCTTTGCTTAGGGTAACAAGGGGTCTCACCCAGGTACAACGGGGGTGTCCCCAGAAAGGTTTTGTAAAAGACATTCCAATTGCTATAAAATACATGCTAACTTTGATATGGATCATAAGATTTAAACTTAATTAAATAAAATTTAATTTAGAATATCAATTTCGGCCCTCCTCTTGATGAGGAATCGTGGTGATTCGTCACTTAAGCAGCATAGAATTTGGCCTCATTTATAGCTACAAACTACTCCCGGCGCTTGTATCGGCTATCGCCGTAATTTGAACCTCTGGAGCTTGTCGGTGCAGGTAAGTGCTGCGCGACATCTAACCCTTGGCGCTTGTCAGCTGGCACCAGCTTGAACATAACTCGGTGTAGGGCCTGCCGTTTTTGCCCAATAGCATGTGCATTTCTAATGGGGTTCGCCATTTACATAATCGCTGGATAGATGGCCAGCGGTGCCAGCTGTCCGGTATCACTGCTAAACAATGCGATCTAGTTACGGAACGGAGGAGGTGCAAAGACATCTGGGAGGAAAGCTGATCTGCACGAACACGTGGGTGCGTGCGTGCGTGCGCACGTACACGCGTGTTGACGTACACGTGCGTGCGTGTGGACGTACACGTGCGTGCGTTTGGACGTACACGTGCGTGCGTGTGGACGTGCGTGTGTGGGCACATACACGTGTGCGTGCGTGCATAGGCACGTACACGTTTGTGCGTGCGTGTGCACGTACATGTGCGGGCGTGCGTGCGTGTGCACGTACACATGCGTGTGTCCCTGCGTGCGTGTGCACGTACACGTGCGGGCGTGCATGCGTGTGCACGTACATGTGCGGGCGTGCATGCGTGTGCACGTACATGTGCGTGTGTGCGTGTGTGTGCACGTACATGTGCGTGCGTGCATGTGTGTGTGTGTGTACGTGCGTGTGCACGTACACGTGCCTGTGTGCGTGTGCATGTGCACGTGCGTGCGTACGTGTACATGTACACGTGCGTGCGTACGTGGGCACGTACACGTGTGTGCGTGTACACGTACTTGTGCGTGCGTGTGCACGTACAAGTGCGCGCGTGCGTGGGTGCGTGTGCACGTACACGTGCGTGCGTCCATGTGTGTGTGCGCGCGTGTGCACGTACACGTGTGTGCGTGCGTGTGCATTTTCATCACATCTTTTGATCGCCACACACCATTTCAATCTCAGTTCTGGGTCACTTGGAAGTTGGGGCCCCACTGTTTCGTGAACAGGCGGCATGGTCCTTGCATTTCTTTTTGCTAGGATCTTTCTGTGCCCCTCGGAAGCATCATGCGCTGTCAGTTTCCAAACGATAGTTTGTAGTGCCGGTGAAAAAACTACCAGAGATACAGCCTGCACCACAGGTCATACTCTTGGCTGGGTCATACTCTAGCCACGGGTATGACGATTTCCACGCTGGCTAGAACGCACGCATCCTTTTCGTATTATCATAGACACGCTGGCCATCTAATTTCTCTTCCTGCGATTTACGTTTGGGAGGTGGAGGGGCGAGCGCCGTCCAAATACTTCCACATAACAACCTTGATGTTAGTATTATACTATTGGATAAAGATGTACCTAGTATTAGCTTCACTACTATTTGTATGGACTGCTTCAAGTAATACACGCATGCGATGTGGTTGAGATGTAAATACCTCCCTATGAGAGCGTATAACTGATTAGTTGCGTCAATTCTACAATCAGACTGTTTGTTCTATGTCAACAGCTACTGTCAAGCGATTGATTGGTTGACTGGGTTCGTGGCCCCATTGTTTAACAATGTTTGTACTGCCGTAGGGTCTAGTAGCATGCTTAGAGCGTGCAGAGCGTGCTAGCGTCTACTCTACTTGGACTAGCGCGTCTAACAGGGAAAACTTGTTAATGGGGACGAGTTATATATTGCTCTTTGGATCTTGGATGAGAGACGCTGCCGCTGGTAAAATCGATGGGAAATTGGGACGGTGAGGGACGGGGAAAATATAACTAGTCCCGCCTGACTAACTGCTATGGGAATCTACTAGTCCTTCTGATTTTTTACTAGTCTCGGACTAACGGACTAGCGTTAGTGTCGAACCCTGCTTACACATCTTGGGGAGAAGGTGTGTCGCGTACCAAAACCAGGTCACTACAACCTTTATTTGACCTTTACCTTTATCTTGATCATATTTCCCTTCCGCTGACCTAGCGCGACCAAACTTGGTATACTTACACATCTTGGGGAGAAGGTGTGTCACGTACCGAAACCAGGTCACTGCAACCTTTATTTCACATTGACCTTGACCTTGACCTTCATCATATTTTCCTTCCTCTCTATAACTCTGCCCCTAATTGACCTGGCGCGACCAAACTTCGTATACTTACACATCGTACATGTAGTTGGCGACAACTGCCCTTTCTAGTTTGTTATGAGTTTTTCTTTATTTTACAAAAGTGCCTTGGTGCCCTTCTCAAATTGTGAGAGTTGCCTTGATGCCTTTTAAAATTGCCTCGGTGCCCATCCATTTTAGAGAAAATTCAAGGCAATTTCTCACATGCTCCAAAAAACTTGCCTTGCGGCTGCCCCTCTCGTCACTTAATTCGAGGCCTGATCTTGTATCTTGGCTCCTTTCTTGTATTTCACAAGGCACTCGATTCAACGAAGTGCGGGGATTATCTAGAGAAAAAGGAGATTAATGCCGCCTCTAATTCTCTAGATATTAGTGTTACGGTTGAGTTGTTACTTCCTTACGTACCATATTGCATAGAAAGTTATAAGTTAACTTGTATGCTGGCCACAACTGTAAAACGGTCCGATAGCTAACGGTTTTTACCTATTCCTATTATATATGCCTAAAATTTTTTACTGTTGGTTATGTTTACATCGCTGTCAGTGTCATACATGTAACTTTATTAAAAGATTATTTAGCCAGTTGGTCCTGCTCAGTTCAGCATAGTCAACGCGTAATACGTTGTACATTTATTACACTATTATCCAGGAACCGGAGGGCTGACAACAGATGCCCTGAAGAAACATAATGAGAGTATAGAGGATGGAGAGCAGAGTGCAGCAGGAGTGAATGCTGACCAAGAGACCTTCAGTGCTAAGTCACAATCCACGATTCTCACTAGCTGGACTGACTGTTCAAATCAGTCCTTCAGCAAAGTTCACAGGCTATGGAAATCCAATTCTGCTACGCACAAGGAGGTGGGAAGCTAATTGCTTTTACAATATTAATTTAATGTTCATTGTTGGATTAAATGCTCTGAGGGTATGATCGACGATTTAAGTACTATGTTTTAAAAAGTAGGTAAGTGACATCAGAGGTACGTGTTCCTTTAAATAGTAGGTTGGTAATGTTGTTACATTGCGGTTTATATTCAGATACTGGCTGTCTTGGCAGCTGTTACAGAAGTAATAAAGAACAGAGGAGGAAAGGAGAGCGAAACTGAATATCTCGCAGCATTGGTGAGTTGTCTCATCGTTTAATTTCTACAATTTCAATTAGAGGCAAGCAAAACTAAATATTTTGTTCGATCATGGTATAGCATCTATATAACTATGTGATATTAGTAGGACGACACTGGTGAAGTAAAAGTGACACCTGAAATATAGGGCCACATTGTTTTTATCACAATGAACAGGATCAGGCTAATGTCATAATGTCATATTGTCTTTGCAGATGACAACTTTGGATACTGTGGACACTGAAGAATCTGTGACAGCAGTCATGTATCTCATTAGTCTTGTCATCAAGAGGTATAATAATATTATCTCCTTCACACAACTGCATATGGAGTAGGATCATATTAACGTTTAAACTTTAAAGGCTCACTTTTATCTATATTTCGGCCTTATTTTCATGTAAATTGGACTTTATTTCTATTACTTAGTAATGTAATCTTTTATATTTCAATATTAACAAGAAGAAAGTTAACAGTAAAATTCACTAGTGTGTGTTAGAAAATGAACCATTGTTTGTGCTGCATGCATGTTGTCATAAAGATGTCTGTTGTGTTGTTAAAGTTGAAGCGATATTCTTGCAGAACACCACACCCGGTGCTAAAAGCCAGGTTTTCAGAGTTTGGAACATGTTTTATGGACATACTTGCCAAATATGCAGGCTCCTCTTCCACCCCTCTTCTGCGATCCGTAAGTTAGAACGAAATTTCTGAATCTGGTTGCTGTATTAAAATTTCAGTGTATTGTTCATGGTGTGTGCATGGGTATAGCTTTGGAGTTTTTAGCAGCAATTTGCGTAAAATGCGTGTGCATGTTATCAAGTACAAAAGATTGCAAAAGTTTGTAACGATGATCCCATGCTCGGTGATCCCCTTATCAACATTGCCATAGTTTTCAGGCATTTCGAGCAACGTTTTCAATATTGAAAATGTGTGAATTAAGAATTCGAACTCAACAAGTTGGAATATACGTAACGGTGTTGCTACTGAGTATGTGTGTGTGAAATGCATTTGTGGTTATTTCAGTGTTCTTGTTTCTAATTGCTGTTTGTCTTGACAGACGATCGTGTGCTTGGCAACAGTGTTGCGCGTCCAGGATCAGGTTGTCTGGAGTGACTCGTCAACAACACAGCTATACCGCGCGATACTAACATTCACAACCAGTTCAAAACCAAAGGTGATTGCTTCCATCGATTCAGAATTACCGTTTATTGTTCTGAAAACTGATGACTTGAGATATCGGGATGTGGAAAATATCACCGATCAATCAGTGCAAATGTTTTATACGCCGTGATATGTCAAACTACCTGCGTTGTCCTGTGACTGTAGACTAGTAGTGAACGAATTGAGTGTGTAGTGTATGAATGAGAGGAATAGGGTAAAGTGAGCGAGGTAACATGCTGTAGTATATTAGCGCTAATGCATTTGTTCCTGGTTGCCATGGCGCTGACCGTTGCCATGACGCTGTCGTCTGCGTAGGTTAGGAAGGCGGCACATCAGGCAGTCTGCGCAATCCTGCAGGGCAGCGTGTTCATGACCCAGGATGCGGGCGTGGCCCACCACCCAGCCGAGAGCACGACAGTCAAGTTCTGTATTCAGCAGATAGAAGCGAGCGGAGGTAACCCTATCCTCTCTCTGGAACGACGTTTAAATGATGAGCTGGAAAGGAAATTTTCTGTCGCGTTCGGGGGAATTTCCATGCCCTGTTTAGTAAATAAGCTCTTACATGATAATAACAGGTTATACCACCGTCGCATAGTTGTAAAATGTTACCCAAGGGCAGATGAGAGAGGGATACATGAGGGCAATGTGTGTGCATGTGTACATGCACATGCATGTGCATATTTGTGAGTGTGTGTGTTTGTGTAATAGTGGTGCTCTTGTGTTCACGCATACACGCACTTTTATTTTAGGGTCAGATGAGGCAACAGCTACGCTCCATGCTCTCGGTGTTCTAAAGCTTGTGCTGCCAGTGTTGACATCGAAGAACTTGAAATCATCATGTGAAACGATCCTGAAGCTCATGACATTAAGTAACATGGTATGCACATCCTAGATTGCACTCATACCAAATATTAGATTTAGATATGGATTCCAATCAGTAAAGTATCGATATGTGTATCATGAGTGGTCAAATGTAACGATACGTGTATTGTCAAGATCTGTATTGTCTGTATTGTGATACATCGATATATCGATGAGGCCATAATAAAAATATTGTTTGTTTGTCCTCACCCGACCGACCCGCCAAAAAGGGGCCGACTCAAAAAATTTTATTGAGCTTTTTTTTCTTTTTCTTTTTAACAAATTGTATCACTGTACATTATATAAATCTGTAGGCAATACATTATATGTATCAAGCAAAAGAAACATTCAACATAAAAGGTATCTCCACACAAGCACACCCGAGCATGTAGACACCATGCTGAATTTGTAAAAAGACCCCCGCCCTCAAAAAAAGCCGACCTATCTACCCAAACCTTTCAGCCTGGGTCGGGTGAGGGCAAACAAATATTTTTTTAATTGTGGCCTGAGAATCTTCCCACCCCATACTAAGTGGGCGTATGTGTCCCAGCAGGCATTGTCTGGAGAGCGTTAAGTTGGCGTGATTTTCCTGTGTTCCAGGTGATCAAGGTGACCTCCATGAAGGCCCTGCATGCGATGTTTGAGGCAGAACCGAAGTCTGATTGCCTGACAGCAGAACTGAATGCACAGCTAATCTCTGTAAGTGAAAACTATATATATATATAGAGAGAGAGAGAGAGAGAGAGAAAGAGCGAGATAGACAGAGAGAAAGAGAGACAGACAGACAGACAGACAGACACAGACAGACAGACATACAGACAAGAAGCCAGAATAACAAACAGACAGGTAGGTAGACTACATGTCAAGTAAAACATTAGTGTTGTAATCTGATAAATATGGCTGCAGTGGTTCATCTTCGTCAACATAGCATTCTGTTACACGGTCGTATCGAGAACAGTTGACTAGTAATGGTAAACACACGGTAACAATCCTCGACCTCGGATTTGCCGGTCGTAACCGTGCCGATCTATCTTCACACGAGAGGGCGCTAGCAAGCCGTCGTTGTTGCAGGCGCTGTACGACTACCAGCCGGCGAGGGACGACGCTCACCAGATGGCGCCGTGGGCGGCGGTGATGCGCGCGGCGCACGTGCGTCTGCTCGCGCTCAGTCGGCCCCTCGCGGCCGCGCACCTCCCGCGGCTCGTGCACGCCGCCGCCGCGTGCTTCCTGAGTGAGAAGCCAGCCGTCGCTCACGCGGGATACGAGACGATGAACGTACGTACGGGCATGAGTCTGTAGGTGTGGGGGTGAGGGTGGGTGGGGGAGGCTGTAGATACATGGGTGAGGGTGGGTGGGGGAGGCTGTAGATATGTGGGTGAGGGTGGGTGGGGGA